AATATGATCTTTGGTCCATTTACTGGAGTTGATCATCATAAAAAATGTGTTACTTTGCGGCTTATTTTGTAGCTCATGAGGATATATCATCTTTTGAATGGGTTTTCAAAACTTTTCTTAAAGCAATGGGAAATAACGAGTCTGTGTGTTTGATTACCGATCAAGACCTGCAATGAAAGTTGTTGTTCGTAATGTTTTTCAAACTACAGAACATAGGTTTTGTATGTGGCATATTATGAAAAAGGTGCCTGAAAAAGTAGGTCGGGCGATTTTCCAAGACAACTTGATTTCTTGAAAAAACTGTGTTCATGTGTTTGACATTTAGAGATTGAGCCGACAGAATTTGAAGAAAAGTGGAACAAAAGTTATTTCAGAATTCCATTTGAACGATCATGAATGGTTGGCATACATGTACAACATACGTGATATGTGGATTCCAGCGTATTTCAGAGATTTATTTTTGGGTGGCATTATGAGGACCACATCTAGATAGAAAGTGAAAATAATTTTTTCACTATGTTCACAAATCCCCATCTCACTTTGATTGAGTTCTACATGAGGTAATAAGTAATTGTCTATATATGTTCTAAAGTTACTCTTTATGTTCTAAAGTTTTCCTTGTATGCTCTAAAGTTTTCTTTTTATGCTTTATAGTTTTACTATTTATTTTATAACTCTCTTTTATGTTTTCTTTTCTCTTTATGTTTTAATAATATTTAGATCATAATAAACATGTCATGTATATTTATATGTTCTAATGTAATTCACTCTATGTTCAACAATTATCTTCTATGTTTTAAAGTTAATTTCTATTTTCTATAGGTTTGAATGTGCATTGGATGCTCAAAGGAACACTCAAAATAAAATGGATAATGATTCGAAGAATAAGCGTCCGGAGTGTAAGACTCCAATTCCTTTAGAGAAAGATGCTTCTGAATTGTTTACAACAACAATTTTTCTATGAATTTCAATATGAGCTTGAAATTGGATGTTTTAATTGTGGTGTTGAGGAGATGAAGAAGGACAATGAGCTTTACATTTTCAATTTGAGGGAAGGAACTAGAAGGAGGACTTTTGATGTTGTTTTTGATCCAACTACCTTTGATACCAAGTGTTTTTGTAAAAAATTTGAACGTGATGGTGTGCCTTGTAGGCATATGATTTGGGTGTGGAAGGCAAGGATGTTAGAAAAAATTCCCAAGGCCTACGTTCTAAATAGATGGTGTACAATGGCTTATAAGAAGCCCATTTTTGATTTAGAGGGTAATGTGTTGGAGGAATGTATTAATGCAGTAGATAAGAAAATGTTATTAAATGATTTGTGGTCTGAAATTCATGCTTGTGTGAGTTTAGTGCAAAACAATGAAGATGATCTTAGTGATCTTGTCAAAAAACTTCGAGCCATGAGGGTAGATTTGGAACAGAAGAAAACAAATGGAAGCAACAATCTTTCGAGCAAAGTTAAAGACATTGAAATGCTTATTGGAGCTAGTCTACCTTCTAATGTTTTAATCAAACCTCCTAAAATTTCGAAGAACAAAGGCACGGGGGTTCATGTTCCAAATCAGGTCAATGTTCCAAATGATGTCCATGTTCCAAATCAGGTTCATGTTCCAAATTAGGTCAATGTTCCAAATGATGTCCATGTTCCAAATGAGGTTCATGTTCCAAATAGTGACAAAAGAATGAAGAGTGACAGAGAAAAGTCTATTGAACAAAGTCAAAAGAAGAAGAGATTATGTAGAGCATGTGGGGAGCTTGGTTATCATGATAGTCGTAATTGCCCTGGAAAAGTCAAGTGATATTGTAAGTAAACTTTATTTTTAATTTTCTTATGTTCTTATGTTCTAATTTTCTAAACTTTAAGTTTTAAGTCAAAATTAATATATAATTTATACTTTGTGTTCTAAATTAATATTCTTATTTTCCAAACATAATCTCTAGTGTTTTAAACTAATATATATGTCATGTAATATTATTTTATTATGTTCTAATGTAATCCATTTAATGTTCTAAAGTTACTTTCTAAGTTCTAGAGTTACTTTCTTTCTATGTTTTAAAGTTTATTATTTATGTTTTAAAGTAATTCAATATGCTCTAAAAGTAACTATGTTCTAAGCAAGTTTAGAACATAAAGTTATTCATATATGTTCTAAAGTAATTCAATATATTCTAAAGTTACTTTTCTATAATGTTTATTCTTTCTGTTTTAATGTAATTCAATATGCTCTAATGTTAAGAACATACAGTTATTTATTTTGTTCTAAAGTAATTATGTTCTAAGCAAGTTTAGAACATAAAGTTATTCATATATGTTCTAAAGTAATTCAATATGTTTCTAAAGTGTTTTCTCTATGTTCTAAAGTTACTTTTCTATGTTCTAAAGTGTTTTCTCTATGTTCTAATGTTTATTCTTTCTGTTTTAGTGTAATTCAATATGCTCTAATGTTTAGAATATAAAGTTATTCATTTTGTTCTAAAGTTTTCCTTTATATTTTAACTTTTCTCTTTATGTTCAAAATATTTTCTTTATATGTTCTAAAGTTTTCTTTATATGTTTTAAAGGTTTCTTTAAATGTTCTAGAGTTTTTTACTCTATATAATATCATGTGTTCTAAACTAATAGAAATGGCATGTTATAACATTTTTAATGCTAAATTATGTGCTTATGTTCTAATATTGTTTTTATTTTTTTTCTTTACAGGTTGATGAATATACTATTAATCCAGTTGCATGAGATGTTATATATTTAGAAACAATATCTCATTTACTAGCACGTAAAATATTATTCATGTAATTCTTAAAATATAAGAACTCAATTTATTTACTTTTAGAAACAATATATTTTTTATTTCTTTTTTGTCCAATTATTATTCAGAGTATCTCTACTAGTGTTTTTCTTATCAATTTTTATGTTAATTAAAGTTGATTATAATGTTTTATAACATCTCCTGTCTTTTCATCTTCCCCCCTTTTCGTAATAATAAGTTGTTTTATTAAGTCAATTTGAACTACGAGTAATGATAGTACAAGCATTTTAGATACCTTTATTAAAGAGCATTTAGTTGAATCTTGCTTTAATCAACTTTTATTTATTCAAGTTTCTTAACATTGATTTACATATGCCTTCTTAGATATGCACTAAAGAGTGTATGCATTGTATTCAAAAGGAAAAATAAAGCAAAAGTAATGGATTAGAAGCAGCCAGTTTAGAACATAAGCAAATACTTTAGAACATAGATAAAAATAATTAGAAGATTAGCAAAATCAATAATTTGGACATGTAATAAGAAAAAAGTACAACATAATAAGATATAATTAGAATCAAGTTACCAATTGAATGCTTTGGAATCTTGTTACTTTGGCCGTTGTCATTTCTTGTTACTTTTTTTTTAATTTTCTTATGTTCTAATGTTCTACACTTTAAGTTTTAAGTCAAAATTAATATATAATAATATATTCTAATACCCTAACTTTATAAGCATATAATTATTAAAACATAATCAAAAATACTTTAGAACATACCCATATAATTTAGAACATGAATATAATTTAGCATATAAGTTTATATGATATATTTTATATTAAAATTTTAGCATTTAATATGATTCAACAATATATTTCTTGTAACAGGTAAATACATAGAACATAAGAAATTACTGTTATATTCTTTGCAAATATCTCTCTACAAATATAAACTTAAGATCTTAACAATCATATATCCATTTTGTTCTCCTTTGACCACTTTTTTGATCTCCTAATCACTTTGTTCCGTTCTTCATTTACTTCTGCTGTTATTATCTTCCCACAATACTCCACTCTTAATTTTTTCATTTGGTCAAACTGCAAAAAAAAAAAAAAAAAAAAAAAAAAAGAGTAACTTTTAGAACATAAACAGAAATACTTTAGAACATAAGCATATAATTTAGAACATGAATATAATTTAGCATATAAGCATAAATAAATATAATAAACCATAATATATCTAAACAATAATCAAACCAAACCACAACACTAAAACCATAACACCAAAACCATAAACAAAACTAATTTAAAACATGTATCTTATGTTTTAAACTTACATTGTCTAATTCTAGTCCCGAATTCCATAGTTTTACAGATTCTCCTTCATATGTTTCCATGTGCTTCAATAGGAACACTCCACAATCATGTTTGTTCTTATTGCTCTTCCATGACATACTCAAGTTTTTTGTTTTGAAGGAGGATACAAAGTCACTCTTTATATTTGAGTCAATTGAGTGAACGAAATCACCAAATGCATTCAACTGAAAAATTGGATAAACTTTAGAACATATAAGGTAAACTTTAGAACATAAAGAAAAACTGTAGAACATAAAGGGAAAACTTTAGAACATATAAGGCAAAAGTTAGAACAAAAGTATAATTAAAAAAATGTAAACTTTGATGTCTTACCATTAATCTATGGTAATTTCCATATTTATTTTGAAAAGGAATATTTGGTGGAAGAAATCTGTTGTCAATCAAATCAAATGTTCCTTCCACAAAGTTGACACACAGCAAATAGTAGTGATCTGGTAAAACGACCGGGAAGAAAACCTAATAGATAAACAGAATTAGAACATAGATAAGCAAAATTAGAACATAAGCATGCATTTTAGAACATAAGCATATAGTTTAGAACACAAGCATATAATTTTTATAACATGTATTTTAGAAAATAAGCTTGTAGCTAAGAACATGTAGTTTAGAACATAAGTAAGTAGTTTAGAAGATAAATAAGTAGTTTAGAACATAAGTAGATACTTTAAAACATAGATAAAAATAATTAGAACATAAACAAAACCAATAATTAGAACATATAATAAGAAAAAAGTACAACATAATAAGATACCAAGTTACCAATTGAATGCTTTTGAAGCTTGTTACTTCGGCCGTTGTCATTTCTTGTTGCATTCTATCAAACAAAGCCTTCATTCTATCATCTTGCCTTTCATTTGATTTGAAGTATTTTTTTGTACAACGTATGAGCTGAAAAAGAAAAAGAATTTAAAACATAAGTAATTAGAACATAGGTGCATAGTATAATCTATATGAGAAACAAAAAGAATCTACTCTTAGAACATAGTTATAATTTTAAGTTCGAAAACATACATAGCATTCAGTAGTGACAAAGAATCTACTCTTCTTGTCTACACCACGTCTTTTATTTTCAAAATTCAATAGGCAAACATAAGCATCCACAACATTGTTCAACATGTGCTTAGCTTCTATGAGACTATGAATCTCATCTCTCGTAATCGTTGTCCCCATGTTATCAGCATACAAAAGCTCCCTAAAATCAGAAAAATAAAATCAGAACATAAGCATGTAGTTTAGAACATAAGCATGTAGTTTAGAACATAAACACATAATTTAGAACATAAGAATATAGTTTAGAACATAAGTACCTATTTTAGAACATAAGCATATAGTTTTAAACATGTACTTTATAACATAATCTCGTAGCTTAGAACACGCAGTTTAGAACATAATATATAGCTTAGATCATATAGTTTAGAACATAAGCATATAGCTTAGAACATAAGCATATAATTTTAAAGTTTTAAAGTCTTACTTATTATCTCCTTGAGCAAACGCATACTCAGCTACCTTTCTATTGTCCACATTCTTGAAAAGTTTTTCATGTTCAACCATGAAAGGTGAACGCAAGTACATTGGAAGCTTATCCTTTCCTCTTTTTTTCCGTGTCTTTTCTTCTCCTTTTTCTTCTCCTTGTTTCCTACTTAATTCAATTAAAAAATATCACATAGATAACAAAAACCATAAGTAAATCAAACCAAAAATTTATTGATAACAAAAACCATAACCAAATCAAACCAAAATTTATTATTACCAAGTTCTAAATTAAAATTTAACTAAACCATAACCAACATTTGTTTTAAAGTTTAACCTAACTTTTCTAAATATTTCTAACCTAAAGATCTAATGTTTACAAAATGATTACCCTTTCTTGTTCTCATTTTTTTCTTCTTTGTTCTTCTCTTCATTCTTGCTTCCTTCATTTTCTTTCTTCTCCTCTTGATTCTCCTCTTTTTCCTCCTTTTTCTTCTTCCCCTTTTCTTCTCTCTTCTCCTCTTGGATCTCCTCTTTTTCCTCCTTTTTCTTCTTCCCCTTTTATTCTCTCTTCTCCTCTTGGATCTCCTTTTTTTCCTCCTCTTTCTTCTCCTCTTGCTTCTCTTCTTTTTCCTCTTCTTTCTTCTTCTCCTTTTCTTCTTTCTTCTCCTCTTGCTTCTCTTTTTCCTCTTTTTTCTTCTTCCCCTTTTCTTCTCCTCTTGCTTCTCCTCTTTTTCCTCTTCTTTCTTCTTCTCCTTTTCTTCTTTCTTCTCCTCTTTCTTCTCCTCTTTTTCCTCTTCTTTCTTCTCCTCTTTTTCCTCTTCTTTCTTCTCCTCTTCATCCAATGTAGGTGGATGATCTGGATTCAGAAAAGCACAATTTAGAACATTTGCTGTCACTTCTTCGTAAGTGAGTTCTGCTTCATTATCTTCTTGATTTTCTGGGACATCAAACCATAAGTAGAAACAATAAGGACACAACATAGAAATAGTTGGAAAAATTTAGAACATTAGAAATAACTAGAATATAACCAGAAAAATTTAGAACACAAGAAGTAACTTTAGAACATAACTAATTTACAACATAATTATATTATTTAGAACATATGCACATAATTTAGAACATAATCATACAATTTAGAACATATGCACATAATTTAGAGCATAACTAATTTCGAACATAATCATATTATTTAGAAAATATGCACATAATTTAGAGCATAACTAATTTAGAACATAATCATATTATTTAGAACATATGCACATAATTTAGAACATAATCATATAATTTAGAGCATATGCACATAATTTAGCACATAATCATATAATTTAGAGCATATGCACATAATTTAGAACATAAGAAAGTAGTTTAAAACATAAGCATCTGATTTAGAAAAAATTTAGAACATCAGAAATAACTTTAGAACATAACAGAAAAAATTTATAACATAAGAAGTAACTTTAGAACAAATCTAGTAATATTAGTTCAAAAGAAAAGAGTTTGAAAATAATGTAAAACTACCAACTGCTGGTGAGGGGGTCAATAAGTTGAAACTTGGAGGAGTTATATCAAAAGATTGCTTCTTTTTTGGAGGAATTAGGGTTTTTGGTGACTCCTCATTCCTTTTCTCTTTCTTCTCAATTTTTTCCTCCTCGTTTCTCTCTTTTCTGTCCTGCTCTTTTTCTTCTTCTTTTGATCCCAAATCTTCATAGCAATTACACCATAAAAATTAAGTATTATAGCAAATAGCAAAAAATAATTAGCAAATAAAAAGTAACTTTAGAACATAAGAAATATATACAATTAGGAGACAACCTAGAAATAGTTAGAATATAAAAAATTAAGAATTAACTTTAAAGCATAACCAGAAAAAATTTAGAGCATAAGAAGTAATATTAGAACATATCTAGTAAATATTAGTACATAAAAAATGAATTTGAAAATAATGTGAAATTACCAACTACTGGTGAGGGAATCAACAAGTTTTTGTCTTTATTCTCTTCATTTCTCTCTTCTTTGTTCTTATCTTTTTTCTCTTCCTTTGATCTCAAATCTGCTTAACAATTAGAACATAACTAATTTAGAACATAACTAATTTAGAACATAATCATATAATTTAGAACATAAGCATGTGATTTAAGCGCATGTTTTAGAACATAAAAAGTACTTTAAAACATAAGCATCTGATTTAGAACATAAGTATAATTTGGAAATTAAGCATGTACATGTGAAATTACCAACTGTCGGTGACTTTGGTGACCTTGTTTCCTCGAATTTCTTCCATGCCTTATCCATAACTATATCCAATTCTTCAATAAATGCCGGTTCATCGAAGACATGTTGATCTTGGCTGAGTATAGAAGGGCTTTTCTTTTCTTCTTGGTTCACGAATGTCTATAAAATAAGAAATTATAATTTAGAACATAATATGCATAATATTTAATATAAATTTATTATACTTTAGAACATAAGCTGAAAATACTTTAGAACACAACCAGAAAATACTTTAGAACATAATTATAATACCTTTGTTGTGTACTTGCACCATATGTTGTCTATGAGATGTTGCATTTTTCCTGTTGTTTCTTCCTCAACAAAAAGATCTTTTGCTTGTTCTAACATGCCATACATCTCTTTAACATTCGAGGCAAGTGTTTTTGCCAAATCTCCAAATTTGCTCAAAAAGCCCTTCATTAGAACACAAAAATATTTTAGAACATAAAGGACATAACATGGATAATTTAACAGAAAAGGATTAAATGGAGCATAAAATATAATTTAGAACATAAACTAAATCATACCATCATGTCATTTCGAGAAGTTGTAGAACTAGAACCTATTGATGATTTTTCCATTATCTTCTCTTTTTCCTTTTGTTTTGGTTGTTTCTTTTTTCCTTTTGGTGCCTTCTAGTATATAAATTATAAAATTTAGAAAACAACAACATAAATTTTAAAGATTAGAATATAAAGGTTAGAATAAAGTGTTTTCAATTTTTACAAGATAAGCATATGTAGTAATAATTTAAAAGGTATAATTACCATTGATGACTCTTCCTTTCTCTTTTCCTTGTCCTCTTGTCTTGATTGTTTCTTGTTTTCTTCCTACACATTATAATATATGAATTACAAAATTTAGAATATAAAGGATAAACTTTAGAGCATAAAGAGAGAACTTTAGAACATAGGCAAAAGTAAGTTGAGTGATTAGAACATAAAGGATAAACTTTACAACATAAAGGGTAAACTTTAGAACATAATGGGTAAACTTTAGAACATAAAGTGTAAACTTTAGAACATAGGCAAAAGTAAGTTGAATATAAAGTTTAGAATATTTAGGGGTAAATGTTAAAATAGTTTATCACATAAAGTATATAGTTTAGAATATTTAGGGGTAAATATTAAAACAGTTATCACATAAAATATATAGTTTAGAGCATAAAGGGTAAACTTTAGAATGTAAGCAAATATAGATAGAATATAAAGTGTAGTGTTTAAACATAAGCATATACAAATATCATACCACAATTGATTCCATTCTTTCCAAGATTTTTCCATATCCAAATCCATGATCTTTTTCAAACTTATATCTCACTTGAATCCTTTCCTTTGTCCACACCGAAATTAGTGGACATTTTCTTGGTTTTTCTAACCCTCCTCTTTGTAGACGATCAAAATAGAATACCTATTTAGTACATGTTAAGAATTAATTAGAATATTTTTCACACATTTTCAACATAACAAGAATAATATATATACATAATGGTAAGAACTTAAAACTTACCATTAGAAAAGGTAAAGGACCTGTAAAGTAAGAATTTCCCTTCTTCCATACACTTACAGAATCTTTCAAGTGCTCAATCACAAATGTGCACCGATCCAACTCAGCAATTTTCTTTACATCCATACAACTATACAAGAATTTAATGTATAGTTGTGTGTTGTTTGTTGATCGAATGCAACAATTGACAACACATACCACAAAGTTCCAAAGAAATTCATCAGAAACTGTTTTTTCCTTCTTCAATTCTTGAATTCTGTCAATCAATCTCTTGTTGGTTGGACTTCCCTTTTAGAGGTAAAAAAAAACATATAAATTAAAACCTATGGAGATAATAGATCTATTTTAAAGCAGAAAACACTTTAGAACATAAGCAAAGCACTTTAGAACATACAATTTATAACATAACTGTTTAGGGTGAAAATACCCTAAGACACGTGGCCCAATAAAGGCTTGACACGTGTCAATCCTTCAGCGGTCTGCAAAGGCCCATTTCCTTTGCAGACACGTGTCCCTTATACCCTAATTGAGGTACAGTTCTCCCTTACTATAAATAGTAAGGGTAGACCTCATTTATGACACAGACACATACATTAATTGCAACCAAAAAAAAAAAAAACAAACAAAGTCCAAACCTACGGAAACGCTCTCGAACCGAGAAGCTTTTGCTGTTCTTATTCCACTTCGAAAAGATACTAACTTAATCTTCGGAGGCGGAACTCCCACCCCCCATCCGGAGTCTCCGTTACTTGTGCAGGTACAGGCGCAAGAAGGAAGTCGGCTAGGTGCAGGTACAGGCGTAAGAAGGAAGTCTGCTAGGAAATTGTAACTCTCCCGAAGGACACAGAAAACCCCCAAACATCTGGCGCCGTCTGTGGGGAGAGTACTTTCTAGATGACATCTGAGCCTATACTACCTGGTAAAGGCAATCTGCCTACTGGGGAGGTTGAGGTCCATTCGGACCAAGATACAGCCGATAACTATGACTTGGAAGCCTACACTGCTGCAGATGGCTCTTTGAGGACCAAGAACACCCGTTCCAAAGATAAGAGAGAACGGGAAGGGAACCAGGCGGCTCCTAGCAAGCCAACTAGGGGGCCGCTTGGGTTAACCTCTACCGCTGGAGACTCCCCAGTCTCCAGAGATGAGCTCATGAATATGATGATGAGCTTCAAAGGAGAGATCAAAGGCCTTCTGGACTCCACAGCCGGCCCCCGTAAGGGTCAGGCGGAAGAAAGGCGTCACGGTAAAAAGACGGCCAAAACAGTCAAGGGTAGAGCATCTACCCCACATCCGAAGTCAGACATGCCAGCTAGGCTCTTTGATTTCTCAAAGATGCACACTCCTATAGATGGAGTCAGAAAGCCCGTCCGGCACATTCAGCCGGATGGAACCAAGAAAGTCTATTCTGATGCCCGGACGTTCATCCAAGATAAAAAGAATCAGCGATCCGAGTCGGCATCAACATCGACCTTTCGAGACAGCTTCAATGCCACCTCAGGAAGGCACTCGAGAACAAACAATGACAGCCGGACGAGCGAGGTTTCCGCTCGATCCGGCCCCCATATGATCCAACCGGCAGTGCATGGAACACCGTATACGCCCTTTGGATCCCCCTATGCACAGGCAGGTATTTTCGGGGGGCAGCATCAGTCGCCCGTCCAGCCTATGGACTGGCAGCTCCGGCTGCTCAACCTTGGGGAACAGCCAACGGCGTTCTCCAGAGAAATTACCGAGATGACCCAGCCGTCTAAAATCAAAAAACGTGTTGGTAGGTGCCTACGACGGTACCACCAACCCGGAAGATCACCTTATGGCATACACCAACCTGATGTATTTGCAGGGTTTGGATGATGCCGCATGGTGCCGGTGCTTCCCGGCAACGTTGAAAGGGATTGCTCAACGTTGGTTTGGAAACCTCCCAGCCGGATGCATCAATAATTTCAGGACCTTGGCCTACTGGTTTACGTCCAACTTTTCTATGAACATCCCTGCCAAGAAAACAAGCCTTGATCTAGGGGCAATACAACAGGGAGACAAAGAGGGGCTCCGGTCATATGTCAGGCGGTTTAACCTGATGAGGATCCAAATCAATGGATTGTCTGATGACGTTGCCTATACTGATTTCTTCAAAGGCTTAAAAGATGGATCAACTTTTAAGTTTGACTTGGTTAGGAAGAGGGTCTCCACTCTTCACGAGGCACTCATGAAGGCGGAGGCCTACATTCAGGCAGTGGAATTGTGTGCTGTTAAACTTCCAACGGATTACAAAAGATCCGATAAAAAAGAGAATCGGCCTACCCAGTCGGCCAAAAAGGAAGACAAGAGAAAGGGGGTATGGGCGGCAGACTCATCCGGACAACCTTTCCAGAAAAGGAAGAGGTCGGATCCGTATGTGCCAAAGTACGAGTTCAACAAGGACTGTGCCTCCATTCTCAACGAAGTAAAGGACTGGTTGAATCTTGAAAAACCGTCTCCTATGAAGAGTCCTCTAAGCGCCCGGGATAAGAGCAAATATTGTCTTTTTCACGAGGAAATTGGCCACGACACTGAGGGTTGCTTTAGTCTCAGGCGGCTCTTCGACCGGCTCGCTGATGAGGGGGCTCTCAAATCCTATCTTTCCAAGTCAAGGGGTACCCCTAAACAAGCAAGAGGACCACCCCCAAAGAAGCCGGCTACTCAATCGGATACGGATGAGGAAACCATTCTGACCATAGCCGGTGGCTTTGCGGGAGGTGGGCCTACCATCCGGGGTACAAAAGATAACATTCGGAAACTGGTCAACTCGGTGGATGAGGGCCAGTCGTCTGAATATTCATTTCCGGAAGTTAACATCTCCGAGAGAGATAGAGGCGAGGTCAGGCGGCCTCATGATGACCCCATAGTCATCGAGTGCAAAATCGCCAATCAAAGAGTTGGCCGGATCTTGATTGATACCGGGAGCTCATCCGACCTCATCAGCTACCGGTGCTTGGAGAAACTCAAGTATAAGCCCAGTAGCATGCTTCCGGCCTCATACCCTCTTGTAGGTTTTGGGGGAGGAGTAGTACATCCGGTGGGCATGATTGATCTACCCATCCGGTTCGGAGAGAAGGGTAAGGGCCGGCATATGGTTGTCAAGTTTCTTGTAGTAGAAGAGCTGACTGCCTACAATCTGATTATTGGCCGTCCAACCCTTAACCTCTCAAAGGCAGTCATCATCCCATCTCTAATGTTGATAAAGTTTGAAAGGGATGATGACACAGTCGGTTCCTTGAGTGGGAACCAAAAGATGGCGAGAGAGTGTTACCTCTCGGACATCAAACCAACGCTTGACACAGGCGGTCAAGAGAAAGAAATTGTTGAACTTGACGACTGTGATCAAAGCTTACCGGCTACAAAGCCAGCCGGTAAAAAGAGGAAGGCGGACCAACTGGCGCCTGTGAAGGAGAAACAATAGCAATCACTGTCCGAGAGGACAAACGTCCTTCGCCCTCAGCCGGCAGGAGAAATAATTGATGTTGTCCTTGAAGACAGTCGGCCAGACAGAACCGTCAAGGTTGGAACGGCTGCGTTTGAAAGTTTGGGATCAGGTTTGCTCCTTTTGATGAAGGAGTTCAAAGATGTGTTTGCCTTTGAAGTAGAAGAGATGCCGGGTGTAAGTCCGGATCTTGCTGTACATAGACTCGCTGTGGACCCTAAGAAGAAGCCGGTCAGGCAAAAGAAACGGAACCATGGCGAGGAAAGGTCCCAGGCGGCAGCAACCGAGGTCAAGAAACTCTTGGATGCTGGATTCATCCGGCAATGTTACTACCCGGATTGGGTAGCCAATGTCGTCCTTGTGAAAAAGCCGAATGGAACCTGGCGGATGTGTGTAGATTACACGGACCTCAACAGGGCTTGTCCAAAGGATAGCTACCCGCTTCCAAAGATAGATCATTTGGTAGACTCTACAGCCGGCCATGCCCTGATGAGTTTCATGGACGCCTATTCCGGCTTCCATCAGATACCCTTGTGGAAGAAAGACCAAGAGAAGACGGCTTTCGTCACAGATCAAGGGCTATATTGCTACAAGGTGATGCCGTTTGGGTTGAAGAATGCGCCTGCTACTTTCCAGCGAATGATGAACTCAGTCTTTATGATCAGATTGGAAGGAACGTGGAGGTGTACATTGATGACATGATTGTCAAATCAAAGCTGCAGGCGAATCATCTAGCCGACCTCCGAGAAACTCTCACCACCCTCAGACGGCATAAAGTCATGTTAAATCCTAAAAAATGCGTCTTTGGAGTTGAGTCCGGGAAGTTTCTTGGATTTTTGATTGATCAGAGGGGCATAGAAGCCAATCCGGACAAAGTACAGGCGGTG